TTATAAAAATGAATAATTGATATGATTGCTCCAATCCAATTGAGGGAATTCCGACGCTTCACCGTTTCGAATTATTGATTTTAATTTCATGTTTCAACATTGAATTTTATTACACATTTGAGAGAATAATTCAGTCTTTTTGATTCTTTAAATATTCTTCCATCTCCCTGTAGATACGACACCTCAAAACTGTGCTACAACTATCGCGTTATTCTTTAGGCATAATCAAGATTATTGGAGATAATCAGATTAAAAATACAACATGTATTTTTTAATATATATTTTATATTGTCTACAAGTAGTTTCGTATTCTAAATTTTCTATTTTCAACTTGACAATTAGTTTCATACTTTATTTTCATAATCAACAAGTTTCGGTTCGATTTTAATGGTCTCATTTTTACGATTATGATTAGTACTTGATTTTGTTTGGCTACCTTTTGAAATAGGACCAATCCAACCGCACCCACTTTTAGCATCCACCAATCAGCAAGATGTTAATTAGGTTATCATTCACAAAATAAAAACTAGAAGAAAATCATTATTCAAATATTCACTATATTTTTCATATGACCTAACTTTATGTAACTAAACTCTTATCTCCAAACTTAGATCAATGTTTATAAATTAAAGTGGCCATGTTTTGATTAGAGTCATGTGATGATTTAATGGAGAATTAGACACAGGATAGAACCTTCTAATAAATACAGACTATAAAATTTTAATCTATTGTTTGGGATCATTAAAAATTAAAAGTTGCTCTTACTACTTAGTCGAGAGCCTTGATCGTTGATCAAAAGGCAGAATCTGCATAGAGAGAGGCTTACGTCAATTTAAAATTTTAATTAATTTTTCTTTCTCTTATTATCAACCACACATTCTTTCAATAAAATAATATTACACAAACTCAAAAATTCTTCTTACTTTTTAACCGTTCGTTCTCTAAAAAACTCTATTCCAATTTTTATTTTTTTTTTCGAATAATAGAGCTCAAACAAGGGCTTAGATAGTCCGAGAGGATGATCTCAACAACACTAGAATTGAAACATATTTTCAAACTTCTATGAAAGGTAACAATGGAAAACTTTTCGCAATGTGCGAAAGCTTGACAGGCCAATGTCTCATATGTGAGAGAGAGAGAGAGGGAGAGAGGGAGTTTGATGTGACCTTGGAAGTGGTATTTGGATATCTCTCCCATTCTTCTGTGGGATAATCTCATATAAAAATCGTAATCGGCCATTGATTTAATCCTTATTTTCAACAGAAACATAAAAATATAAAAATAATTAGGCACAAAAAATACACACTATAAATTGTCAGGGATAAAAGTGTTTGGGTCAAGATGAATTATTGCAATTTAAGGCGGTCACGAATCTATGAAAGAGTTAATTTAAAATAAAAAAAATTGAGAAAAAGCTCAATGGTATTATTGATATACTTGAGTATGTATAGGAAGAAGATTAAAGTCCGCAATCTTCTACCGTATATTGAGCTGCCCTTTGGCAGGATTAACTCATGAAGTTTGTCAAGTCAATTTTGACATCAACACATCTCTCTTTTTGTGACACCCTCCTCCTCTTTGGTAATATATAAATGGATATCATCATTGTTTCATTTTCAACGGTTAGAATCAAACCAACTGCAAAATGTGGGGGCATATCGAATAGTTATAGAAACCCGAAAACCAGAATTACCATTGAATGTGGAAGAAAAAGGAAAACCATTCATATAACAAGAATGGACCATTGCCCTACATAATAAAATATTTTCTTGCGAGTTATACTTTCCGACAACATTTCTTCGTTGACTTCTATGCATTACTCGTTTTAATAATGAATTCAAATCCCATTTTAGACGCTATCCAGAGACCCCTCCTTTTCACACCCTGTTGCAAAAAAACGTAAATGGGACCACATATGTTTGGTAATCTTTAACTTTTTTTTTAATCGTAAGACGCAAAATGCTGTAAACAGGTCTGGTGGACACTGATTTGATGAGTCCATGAGATAGTTACTTCACGACTCGAAATAATAAATAATACGGTTGTGTTACATGTACATCACAACTAGATTTGACTGACTCAAACCGAATAACAAAAAAATCTCTCTTTTTTTCATTAACCCACATTACACAAGAACAACTGCTTAAAGTGGTGGAGAGATTTGACAGTTTTAATTCAATTTATCGATATATCGTCAATTTGTAAAAGAATCTATCAATAATGATATACAACAAGCATTTTTCTAAATAAAATATTATATACGTTCACTTGTATAATGTTGACATAAATCTCTTGTTTATATGTGTATCATAACTCTATTCGAATCCTAAATCAAACTAAACCCTTGTTTGCTTTTGATTTCTTCAAAATTACTTTCCATCAAAATCATTTTCAAAATAAATTCTCAAAAATAAAATCAAACAAGGGCTAAATATCATTTCACATCTCATAATTTCACGTCAAATCCATTCCACTCGATAAATTCAAAATTTCTCTGAGAATCTGTTAATCTAGAATGCCACTAAAATCTTGTAAAAAACATTTTCAATACAAATGTAGGAAATTAAATTAAAGTAACGATAATCTCTTAGAAAAAAAAGAAACGAACATCTTCCATGAACGTGCTTAATATTTGATTAATTCAGTTTGAGTGATTGCCATTGTATTGTTGATTGTAAGTTTATATATTTCGTTTTGAAAAAAATTTATATAAAAAAAAAATTGAATACAAAACTTCAATTTTAGGGCACGACTTTTAGGGTTGGACTCCGTTATTAAAATCTCAGATAGGCCCCAACATTTTTAAAGAATAATGATATTTATAGCCAATGATTGCCATGTAAAATATTACATGACTAATTCAGCAATCTTTTAAAAGTTTCCATGCATCCAAGCTTATATATATATTGCTCTCTCTTTTAACCAAGTTTCATAACCTAAAGTAAACTATTTACTCACCAGTACACACATACAGAAACAGAGACAAAAAAAGAAAGAGATTAGAGAGTCGGAGAAGAAGAGCATGTACATAGAACAAACACCAGAAGCACTGGAGAATGGCCCTAACAAAAATTTTGACGACGATGGCCGTGTCAAACGGACTGGTATACGATGCCTACATATATACATGAGCAAATTTAAGCCATTACTTTTGTTTGATTGTTCTTGTTTGGTTTGAAGGTACTTTGGTGACTGCAAGTGCTCATATCATAACTGCGGTTATTGGGTCGGGCGTGCTCTCACTAGCTTGGGCCATAGCTCAGCTGGGATGGGTGGCTGGTCCGGCAATTCTTCTAGCGTTTTCTTTCATAACCTACTTCACCTCCACCCTACTAGCTGACAGTTATCGCTCTCCAGGACCCGTCAATGGCACCAGAAATTACACTTACATGGACGTCGTTAGGTCTCATTTAGGTAACACCTGCTTTGGAAATTTGATGCATACTTGTTAAGATAAATTGTAATTTTTTTTTTTTATGAAATTTCCAATTATTTGTAGGAGGTGTGAAAGTTCAGCTTTGTGGGTTAGCCCAGTATGGGAATCTCATTGGGGTTACAATTGGATACACAATAACTGCGTCCAGTAGTATGGTGTGAGTATTAATATTAATCTTTTTGAGACAATTTCTAGTGTTTTTCAAACTACTATTCATATGTAAATTGATGTGTCGTCAGGGCGGTTGAGAGGTCAAATTGTTTCCACAAACACGGCCATCATGTCAAGTGTTCGATATCCAACTATCCATATATGATAATATTTGCAGTAATTCAGATAATTCTTAGCCAAATACCAAACTTCCATGAGCTGTCATGGCTATCTATTGTAGCAGCAGTTATGTCTTTCGCTTACTCTTCTATCGGCCTCGGTCTCTCCATAGCTAAGGTTGCAGGTACTAGACTCTTAGTATTTTGTTATGTAATATGGTTTTTGTTGAGCATAAATTAATTTAAAATTGTGGTCCAATATGATCGAATATTTATGTTTTGGATTATTTAAGGTGGTGGGCATGTTCGGACAAGCCTAACGGGTGTAACAGTCGGGGTGGACGTGTCCGGTGAGGAGAAGGTCTGGAGAAGCTTCCAAGCCATTGGAGATATAGCCTTTGCATATGCCTATTCTACAGTACTTATTGAGATCCAGGCAAGTCATTAATTATTATGTATTTGTATTTGTATTTGTAGATAGATATTAGATTTAAATGTTATTTTAATTTAAGTCAAAATCAAACAATCAATATTAATCAAACATTTTAATTTTTTTTTATCAAAATATGCTAATATTTTAATTTTAATCCCCACCAAACAGGAGCTAGATATCCATTTATGCTGTAACTACACATAAATGTGAGCAATAATAAATAAAAATATATAGATTCATACTCTTTGTAAAAGAAATACTTCTTCCGCCCTCACAAAGATAGATTTATTTTCATTTTTACACAAATTTAAAAACATAATAAATATAATCGAAAATATATTTTTTCTAATATATCATACATTAAATAATAGTTTAAATAAGTGTAGTTCACATTTATTGATAACAAATTACATTAAATAAGAACATATTAAAAAAAATTTTAAAAAATTAACTATATTTTCAATAAAGAAATTGATGTACAATTTGAAACTGATAAAAAAGAAAAACAAGCATAACTTTAAGAATATAAATCACTCGGCCCAAACTTGAAATGTGTGCCTAATTTAATGAAGCATCATAGTATGAATTGCTGGATGTGTCTTCGTGTCTATGTGAGAGTGAGCGTGAGCGTGAGCGTGAGCGTGAGGGAGAGGGAGAGGGAGAGTATTATTTGGTGTAGTATATATGCGACCACATGCACTTGTAGCACAATGATGGAGTACTGGATAAACTTTGTTGAATATTTAACCTTATCTTTGGATATCAATTTAAAATACTTATAAATTTAATTAAAGTTAAACATTAAGTCTTGAAACCCACAATTATTATTATTTTAAAATCTTTTATAAGTTTGCAAAACTGAAACTAAATAAAGCCTCAAGATAGACACATAATGCATTACTTGGATAAATGTGCAATAAATATAGGAACTTATATTTTATCAATAAATCATATATATTAATTTTTTTATGCAAAAATTAGTGCTGACCCCTCTAATTAGGAACTTATATATTGATTGAAGAAAAAGCCAGAACAGGTAATTGGTCCAGCACTTTCTCGGAATTGGACCACTAGCCTTTAGGTTTAGATTCTTCACGCCACACAGTCGATGGATATCATCCAGTATACAGAGTCACATGAGATACGGATCTTTTTGGTACCACACTGATCGAATAATATACTTTTTTTTTTGTACAAAGTTGTCGAAACATTTACTTAAATAGCATAGCATGGTTTTTATACAACGATAATATTGAACAATTTAAATACTATGTAGGACACGTTGAAGTCCCCGCCCCCCGAGAACAAGGTAATGAAAAAGGCTTCTTTGATAGGAGTGTCGACCACAACCATGTTCTACGTCCTTTGTGGTTGCATAGGTTATGCTGCATTTGGAAATAAAGCTCCAGGAAATTTCCTCACTGGATTCGGATTTTACGAACCCTTCTGGTTGATTGACTTTGCCAATGTCTGCATTGCTATCCACTTAATTGGTGCTTACCAGGTAAATAATTATTCTACACTCCACTGCTTCAACCGCCATAAATATCTTCATAATGCCTTTTTGCTAACAGGTCTTTGCCCAGCCAATATTTAGTTACGTAGAGAAACGTTGCAAAAAATGGCCGGAAAACAAATTCATCACGACCGAGCATGCCATCAATATTCCAGTATGCGGCACTTGGTACATTAACTTGTTCAGACTGGTATGGAGAACAGCTTACGTCGTAGTAACAGCCGTGATAGCCATGATATTTCCGTTCTTCAACGATTTCTTGGGTCTGATTGGCGCAGCCTCATTTTACCCATTAACAGTGTATTTTCCCATAGAGATGCACATTGCACATGCCAAAATACCCAAGTATTCCTTCACATGGATATGGCTTAAAATACTTACCTGGGCTTGTCTCATTGTGTCACTCGTTGCTGCAGCTGGATCCATACAAGGGCTTGCCAGGGATGTCAAGACGTATAAGCCCTTCAAAACTCAATAACTTTTAGTTACTACTTAATATGTAACATTTTAATAAGAATTTATAAAATTGTCCACATCAAAGATGGACTCTACAGCAGAAAGAATCTTCAAATAGTTATAGACCTACCTTGTTGCTCATGCACATTTTGATGCTCAGAAATTTGAAGATTTATTTCACCTCTACTTGTAGCATATTGTATCATTGATTTTCATGTTGAACAGACGGGCAATGACTCCAAGCGTTCTCCAAAGTAGACCTAATTTGTGCAACGAAAAAGATAGGGTGAATTGTAAGTCTTTGTTTGGGAGAGATTATTTGGAATGTAAAAAAAAAATGAATTCACATGCAAAATTATTTTATTAAGAAAAATTATGATTGAAAATGAGTTCGACGAAAAATGATTTTCAAAATGCTAACAGTATTGTCATCCGAAACAGTATCTACAGAATGTAAAGTCCACGCAACAAAGGTTAGATGGGAATGTCTATCATCTTTCAGTTTCTTTATTATTTTTTTTTTATTTTTTTTTTTTTGGTGTGGGAAGAGAGGAAGGGTGCACTGGCAACGGGAGTATTTGGAAGCACCAACAAAATGCTTCAACTCGAGTCTCAAAATTTGAATGGTCTAAGGGCATGTTCGTAAGGAGAATTTCATCGTATTGGACAATGTTAAGATAAAATCTTATTTATAAAAGTTTCTTTTACTCAAAATGTCCTAAATGTTGGAAGCACCAACAAAATGCTTCAACTCGAGTCTTAAAATTTGAATGGTCTAATGGCAAGTTCCTAAGGAGAATTTCATCATATTGAAAATGTTAAGACAGAATACAACATAAAATCCCATTTATTACAGTGTTGTATACTAAAAATGTCCTAAAGGATCACACAAAATTCATGCCTTGTTTGTTTATGAGTAAAATCAGATTTTAATATAAGTCAAAGTCAAACAATTAAAATTAACCATATTTTTCATGGGTCCCACGCTTTTCAACAACACATTTCAAAAACTTCTATCACAATCTACTAAAAATCTAATTTTAATCCTCATCAAACACCCACTCAATATTCTGTGTGTCTAAGTTGTAAATGTGTTGCCTTATCATCTGTACATCCTAATTCATTTACATAAGTTGTGTTAGGTTTAAAGTGAATTGGCAAGTTCCGGTCCAAAATATCATTTAATTGAGTTGTAATTAGAGTCGAGTTATCGGAGTTGAAAGTGTCTTTGGAATGAGTCAAAATCATCTCAAGAAGACCAAATCGTCAAAAAAACGCTCGAAGTCCACGAGGAAAGTGCTTGAGTGGTTTTAGATGTGAGTCCACTGCTCAATGTCCGCGAGGGGAGTGATCGAGCTGTCAACCCACCGTTCGCTATCCGCTCGACCTTTGCTCAAGTGAACGAGTTATTCAGCCAAACCTAGTTGAGATTTTCAGCGTATTTCATAATCTCAAACAATCTCAAATACTTCATGTCATAGATACCAAAGCCATATTTTGTCACAAACGTGTGTTGAGCCTTTTTTCATTCAAAAGAACATCTTGTAGAAGATCAAACAACAATTTAATAATTCTATTCACTCAACTACAAGATCAAAACACAAAAAAAATCCAAAAGATCAAAACACTGAAATCAAAATCATTTACAAAATAGCCTTCAGAGTTCTGAAGATGATGGAGGTGACTGGAGTTTCGGTGAAGAAGAACGAGTTCGTTCTTGGTGATCACATGGAGGGAAAAGAAGTTCACTGATTCTAGAAAGTGTAGAAGACACAATCAAAGAGTTCTACAGGTTGAATGGTTAGAGTCTACTAAAATTTAATTGTGACCGGACCAACTGTAAATTAAATATTTTCTAGTGGATCTGTTTGGCAAAATTTGCCTCGAGGTTTGTCTATTCCTATGATTATTCAAGGGATTTTTCTGCGTTAACAAATATTGGTGTTTTTTTTTTATTTTTACTATGATTTTCATGCTTGATTAATTAGATATGGTTTAATTTGATTAAACTTGTTCATCTAGAAATAATATTTAGTGACTTTTTGTTGCTTATTATTGGTTATTAATTTTACTATTGCTTTTCTCTATTTTGATTGTTATTGTTATTTTGACTATAATTAAACTCCTTTTGCTGAACTTTTCATTTTTTTTTTGTTAAATACCCAATGTGTAGAACTTCTTTTTGTTCTGTTATAATTTCCGGCTCTTTTGTTTCTAAGGAAGTTATGAATAATTTCAACAGTCAAATAATCTCTACCATATTTAATGCTTTCTTTATATCCTCATGTTTTTCTCTGAGACCGTTTAATAGGCAAACTACTTTTTGATCTTGAGAGATTTTTATCCCACAATTTCAAGATCTTGAACTATCCTATTAAATCTATTCATACTATCTTCTAAATCTGTACTTGGATCAAACTTAAATCTAAAGAAATGTCTCCAAAGAAAGCATTTATTTGGTTTAGTCTTAGTAAGATACAACTTTTACTAAAGGTGTCCATAGATCAAATGTTTTCACCAACATTTTTGATCTCTCAAAAAGGTGGAGAAACAGTGTTGCATCATGATAACCCAAGAACAACTAGCTCAAAGAGGGTGGATTGATTTTTGAAACTTTTTTGAATTTTTTTTTCTTATTAAGTAATTCACAAACACGCTGATCAATAAAGCAATCATAAACAAAATATAAGTAAAAGAGTAGAGATGTGCAAAAGATATATTTATGGAGGTTCGATCAAAACCAATGGTGTACATCACCTATTATCAAGCTCTCCGTTACGAGTATTTCACTATATTGTGCAACCAAAATTCTTACAACGTTTTTGGCAAATTACAAACAAGGTGCACTGGCCTTTTACAATATTGAGCTTTCAAGGGAACTTAATATGACCCAAAGGTTTGAATAAATAGTTTTATAATGAAATTTCTCTCTTAGTAAATGACAATAATAAATTAAGTACCAACATAGACTAACACTTCAATGAATAGCAATGAGTAATAGCTCAAGTATTAGATAAAAAATATTGATGAATATGATGATTTAAAAGTTTGATTTAATCAATCAAATTTTTTGACATAAAGAAGTAGAAGAAGTAAATGCAATAGAAGTTCAAAGATTTGCTCAAAATATTTCTCTCTTTAATACACTTCAAAGAAGTAAATATTTTTGATTGCTAAAATAGAACCTATTTATAGAGGACAATTTGCAAAACTTTATGTAAGTTCCAATGATGGACCGGTGGACTGGTACAAGTTCTGATGACCCAAAATATAACCAGACAAAAATTTTAGAAGCCAGAAAGGTCAAATTTTTGAACCATTGGACTATCGGTTGACCGAATGAGCCCTTTGGTCGATCGGTTCTAGTTGACTAGTTGGAGAGTCTGGTTGACCGGTTTGGCTGACAAGTTGGTCCAGCCAATTGACCGTTTGTTTTTTTCAATTTTCTCATTTTACCCCATTTGATCAATTCGAATATTTTGAAAAGCGTGAGCTTTTGGAGATTTTAACTAGTTTTTCAAGGTAGGTGATTTTTCAAAAATACAATCTAAATTCAATTATCATTTTAAAAATCATTTTTACCTTTGGTCAAAAATATTTTATGCAAGTAATGATGAATATAACTCTTAGTGCATAAAATGATTTTTGATTTTTAATCTTTCATTGCTAAAAATCAAAGTGTAAGTTTGTACCTTTAAATTTTATATAAAAAATCTTTCATCTTTCTTTGAAGTTTGGCAACTAGGCTCTCGTCTTGATCTTTGTTTGGAGTTTGACTTTTAAATTCTTGTCTTGATTGCTTGACTTCGATATTGACCTTCAATGTGAGTCTGATTTGTAAAGATAGTCTTCATTGTGATCTTTTAACGATGATCGATCGATATATCATAGAATACTTTGAAAACTATGATCACTTAAATTTAATTGTTAGTAATTGTCATCATGGATGATTCAAAGTATATCATTTGATCATTCAAAACATATCGAATTGTCATAACAAATCTATCGTTCAAGGCATATTAAACCCATCTTACGTATTTTCTCTATTTTGGCATAAGTAAAAAGATAACACATATGAGAACAAGAGTTACATCATATATGATTAAAACTTTAAATCAACCAAAGAAATGAATAATACTTTCCCTCAACTAAACACAAAATGTCAAATATATGCAAAATTTTGTTTCTTACTAAACCATGATACAAGTGCAAAGCCTAAGAAGTGACAAGTTCTGCTAGTGTTCTTATGATCAATTGTACAATAGACCCAACCGACATCCAAATAGTTAAGTAAATCAGTATGAGTGCCCTTAGGATACTAAAGATCTAATATTCTAGTGCTACTAGGATATCTAAAAATTCGTTTAACGGCACTAAGGTGTAAGTCTTTAGGATTAGATTAAAATCTTGCACATAAATACACACTAAACATGATATCAAGTCTACTAATGGATGGGTAAAGAAGAGATCTGATCATACCTCGATATTTAGTTATGTCTACAAATTGTCCAATTTGATTGATGAGCTTATTGGAGTTTTCATTGGTTTCAAACCTTCAATTTCAAACATTTTGAGCATGTCCATGATGTACTTAGTTTGACTAATAAGGATTTCATCATTAGTTTCTTTGATTTGGAGTCTAGGAAAAAAAACTTGAGTTCCTGTATAATGCTCATTTCAAACTCGTTACTCATATAATTAGAAAATTCTTCGTAGGGGGAAATGTTAGTGGCACCAAAACTAATATCATCAATATAAATAATCATATCATTTTTTTTTTGGTTTTGATAAGAAGTGTAGTATTTGCTCTTCCCATTCAAAAATCATTTGAAAGAAGAAATTTGCTATATCTTTCATACCATGCTCGAGAAGTTTGCTTTAAATTGTAAAGAACTTTTCTTAGTTTGAAAATATTATCCAGATCTTGTCATTTTTGAAATCGGAAGATTGTTCTATAAATACTTCTTCCTGAATAAAACCACTTTTGATATCCATTTGATAAAGAGTAAATCATTTATAACAAGCAAAA